ATCCTCTCCAAGGCACATCATAGCCAGACTGGCAAAAACAACAGACAAAGACAAGATACTAAAGTTGGCAAGAGGAAATGTCAAGTTACTTACAAAGATCACCCCATGAGGCTAACATTGGATCTCTCGGCGGAAACAATGCAGGCAAAGAAAGAATGGGGAAACATAGTCAAAGTGTTGAGTGAAAAACAATTTCAACCAAGAATACTATACCCGGCAAGATTATCTTTCATGAGGGAAAAAAGAAACATTTTCAGATAAACAAAATTTAGAGGAGTTTATAAACTCCAGACCAGTTCTTCAATAGGTTCTGAAGAGAGGGCTATACCAGGAAAACTAAAAAGTCAGACAGACAGCTATACAAGAACAAAAAACAACCAAGAAAATGGCTCATTTAATGATAGGATCAGATACGGAAATATCGATAATTACATTGAATGTCAATGGATTAAATTAATTCCCCAATTAAGAAACCCAGACGGGCTGAATGGAAAAAAAAAAAAAAAATTAAAAAAAAAAAACAAACCCAGAACCTTCTATCCATTGCCTATAAGAAACTCACCTTATTGATAAAGACATACATAGACTAAAAGTAAAGGGCTTGAAAAAGATATTCCATGCAAATGGAAATCAAAAATAGGCTGGAGTAGTGATATTGATCTCAGAAAAAATAGATTTCAAGACAAAGACTGTAAGAAGAGACAAAGAAGGGCATTGTTTAATAGTAAATGCGGTAATCTAGCAAGAAGACATAACCCTTATAAATATCTGTGCACCCAACTCAACTGCACCTAAATATGTGAAGGAAAGACAGCTGGAGCTAAAAAGAGAGACAGGGAGAAATACCATAATTGTTGGAGATCTCAACACCCCATTATCTACTTTAGACAAACCTTCTAGGCAGAATGTGGGGGTTTAAGAGAGAGAATCTGAGGTGTGGGGACATGCTCTGAGCAAACACCACCTGCTCTTTTGGGGTTTGGCAGAACCTTGTAACTTGTCTTTCCCTGACCTTGGCTGCAGACAGAGCAAGGGTGGACATTGCTAGGTGCATGCCAACAGACACATCTGATGGACTTCAAGAAACATCTTGACCCCAATTAGTAAAGTCCAATCCCTGCTCTGCATCTGAAAGGTTCTTTAGCCTTCTCTGGGTGTGATGGTGCACTCCTTATGGAGAAGTTCTTTAGTTCCTTCCCCACACCTAACAGCTAGTTCTCTGCATTAGAAAAGGTGAGATTCTCTCTTGATGGGATTATCACCAAAAGATACACCTGGCCCAGTATGGCTAAGCCCTCATAAATTTGTCAATTGCTTCTTATTGTCTGTAACCTC